CACCTTTAAACATTTGTAAATGTTTTGGGAAATAGGTTTATCCTCACAAGAAATTATGCATAGCATACATAGACAGAAACATCCAAAGGTATCCAATAAAAATGTATAAGTTGGCCCGGGGCGATAGAGTAGAGGTTAAAGTCCTCACCTTGCATGAGCTGGGATCCCATGTGGCCGCCGGTTCTAATCTCAGCAGCCCACTTCCCAGCCAGCTCCCTGCTTGTGGCCTGGGAAAGCAGTTGAGAATGACCCAAAGATTTGGAACCCTGCACCCATATGGGAGACCTGGAAGAGCTCCGAGCTCCTGACTCCCGGCTTAGGATTGGCTCAGCTCCAGCCACTATAGGCACTTGGGGAGTGAATCATTGGACGGAACATCTTCCTCTCTGTCTCTCCTCCTCTCTTTATATCTGCCTTTCTATTAAAAATAAATAAATCTTTAAAAAAGTGTACAAGTTGGGGATTCAGCTGCTGCCTGCAATGCTAACATCCCGTATAAGTGCTACTCATGTCCTGGCTGCTCCAATTCTGATTTAGCTTCCTGCCAAAGGCCTGGGAAAAGTCCTAGAAGCTGGCCCAACGGCTTGAGCCCTTACACCCACCAGGAGAATGAGAATGGTCATGGTTACATCCTCAAGTATGCCTGCCACTGCAGCCATCCAGGGAATGAACCAGCAGATGGAGAATATCTTTTCTTATCCCTGTCTGTTGTCCATTAATAACAAGATAAAAATAAATAAATAAATAAATGTCACAACTGAAGCACACAGTGTAAAAATAATCAGGAATTGGCTCTAGAATTCTTGAAGTATAAACAGTATGGTTTTGGGGAAACTGATGAGGTGTTAATTATTTCCAACTTTCATGAAAATGGAAGTTTTTATCTTCAAGTGAATATTCACATACATAATTATATAAATAACTCACATACATAAATTACACATACATAATTGTATAAATAATTGTAAAAATAAGTTGATATAAAATCAAAATGAAATAGTTTCTGGAGATGTCCTATCCATATGATCTAAGGCAATGACTTTAAGAAGGCAATGACTTTGAGAACCCTAAGCAGAATTTGAGACATTTATAAATCTTAACTTGTTTCGCAAACACTGATGATTCATAGTTTTTGCCTTCCTGTTACCCAGCAGAAAAACACTTTCATTTCAAATCTGAAGGCTGGTAGAGAACAGATTAGTGAAATAATACATGACCATCCCAAGATCATTTCTAATCTGAACTATGGAAGGCGGCAAATGAACTAACCCCGAGGTAACCACGTATCTTGTGATCGTTGACAAGGATAAAAAAGAAAAAAAGGTGTGATAATGTATGAGGACAGAGTGTTCCTTCTGGCATCTTTCACATTAGAGAAAATCTCCACAAATGTCATTATTTTCCTGTAGAGATCTAATAGAAGCAGAATTAATGAACAAAAGTCCAATTCTAAATATTTTCTGTGAATTTAAATGCCTGCCACCTACTATAGACTATAGAAATTTATTTTCTTTCCCTAAATGTTTCTTTCCAAGGCGCAGTATATCCACAAGCTTAAGTCTCTTCATCTTAATGTATATTCCTCCTGGTTCCATAACCCTGGATCAGATGCTTCTTCATAGATATCATCTTTTAAAATCATGGAGATTCATTGTATACATTTAAAATCATGGCGATTCCTTGTATACATCTAAACACTAAGTCTTCAGTGTTATTTAAACACCAAGTCTTCAGTCTTCTTGGCTATTTTAATCTCCTTTACACCACCCTCTTCTTTTTTTTTAACCTACCAACCTTAACTTACCTTCTTTATAATTATGAAAGTTACATAAAATACAAAAGGTATGGCTCTGCCACAGTTGTATATAAGGAAATTATGCTTTCTCTTTTATTTCCAAAACTATTTTCAATGTAAATCAAAATCCTAAATGGTCTTTGGTGTCTTGAATGAGTAAAATTGCCCACAGGAGGGGCCAACATCATAGCATAGTAGGCTGGGCCTCTACCTGGGCATCCCATATGAATGCTGGTTCATGTCCCAGCTGCTCTACTTCCCATCAAGCGCCTTGTTTGTGGCCTGGGTGAGCAATGGAGGATGGTTCAGGTCCTTGGTCTCCTGTACACTTCGGGGAGACCAGGAGGAACCTCTTGGTTCTTGGCTTCAGCTCAACTTGCAGCCATTTGGGCAGCGAGCCAGTAGATGGAAGATCCCCCTCCCTGTTCCTCCTTTGGTCAGTGTAACTCGGCCTCTCAAATAAAAGTAATTAAAAAAATATATTGCCAAGAGGAAAGATGAAAATTAGTTTCAGTAAGCACTGCTGTATGTACCTTTACAAGAGATTATTTCAGTAACATTACCAAAATTACCACTAACACATAATAGAAGTCTCTTTCAAACTCAGGCCAAATCAATCAACAAGCACAGAGTATCTTATTACAGCATGAAAGGAATCTTACCAACAGAATCCCTTGAAACATGAGCAACTAACAAGATTTTCTAGTATTTAAAATTACAACAAATGGCTAAAATATATTTTTCCAGAAATATAAATATTTTAATAATTTATTCATCAAAAAATTTAAAAATATAATGAAAGAATAATCTAGAAAAACAAAGTGAATATTCTGCTATAGGTAAAAGACTGCCATAACCAGCCCAACAATGAAATACAGAATCAAAATTAGCATAATAAAATGCCTAAGGAGAGATCATTACCAAGAAGAAGCAAATTTTGCTCTTAAAAACATCAGCTATAAGCTTGCTTTTTAATCATATAATATACAACATGTACATCAGCCAAAATAATTTCTTTGAAAATAAATGTAACCAAGGAAACAAAAGACTTCTACACTGGAAACTACAAAAAGTTGCTGAAAGAAATTTAGAAAGACAAAAATAAATGAAAGAGATTCATGTTCAAGAATTAGAATATCTAATATTGTTAAGATAATAATATTACCCGAAGTATTCTACAGATTCAACAATATAAATTCTCAATGGCTTTTTAAAACACATAACTAAAAAAGAAAAATATTCTAAAATGTACAATGGATCACAATAGACCCTGAAAAAGGAAAAGCAGTATCAAAAAAGAAGAACAAAGTTGGGAATCTCATACTACCTGATGTCAATGCTCAGTATTAAACTATGGCAATCAAAACAGTGTGATAATGGCATAAGGACAGATATATAAACCAATAAAACGGAAAAGAGAATAGAGATTATGGAATGGAATGGAATGCAATGGAATGGAACGGGATAGGATAGGATAGGATAGGATAGGATAGGATAGGATAGGATAGGATAGAATAGGATATATCCCATGTGTTTTGATGTTTTTTATTTCATTTTCATTTCTTCCAAATGGTTTCTTTTCTCTTGTCAAATTCATCACTGGCTCATAGATCGCACAGTGGAATCATTTAACCCAATATTTGTTGGCCATTTGTATTTCTTAAGAATTGTCATTAAGGAACATTCCACTAAGCTATAAAGGCTATATATCACAAATTAACAGCCAGGATCATATGGAACGGGGAAATGCTGAAATCATTTTCTGGACAAAATATCTGCTTTTTCCACTTTTATTCAATATAGTACTGGAAGCTTTAGCAAAAGCAATAAGGGAAGAGAAAGAAAAAAGGCATCAAAATTGGAAAAGAGGAAGTCAAATGATCTATGTTTGCATTTGACAAGACACTGTACATGGAAAAACCCAAACACTCTCCACCAAAAAGCTCTTGGAATTGATATGTCAACTCAGGAAAGTTTCAGGTTACAAAATAAACATACAAAAAGCAGTCACTTTTTGGTATATTGATGAGGAGCTCACAGAAAGAGAAAGCACAACCTTAAGTCACATAGAAAATCAAATATTTACAAATAAATTCAACTGAGTAAGTGAAGAATCATTACAATGAAAATTATTAAACACTAATGAAAGAAAGCATCAGAAACTTTACAAAGGAAGGATATCCCTTGCTTATTGATCAGAAAAATCTGTATTATTAAAATGTCTACACTATCTAAAGCAATCTACATATTCAATGCAATACCTATGAAATTACCAATGCATTCATTACATATTTTGAAAAAGCAATCATAAAATTTATATGGGATCACAGAAGATCCTAAATCGTCAAAGGGATCCTGAACAAGAAAAGTCAAGCTGAAGGCATAATACCTGATTTCAAAACGTACTATAAAGTAACAGTAATTAAAACAGCACAGCACTGGCATGAAAACCAATACATACATCAGTGGAACAGGACAGAGAACCCAGAGATTAATCCAATTACATACAGCCAAATAATTTTGTATAAAATTGAACTGTACCTTTTAAAAGAGTTAAAATAGCAAATTTCATATACATTTTATCACAAGAAAATATAATGATCTAGTCATGGACATTGTGGTGTGATGGGCTAAGAAATCACGTTGGAACCTTATCCCACATCAGAGTGCCCGGTTTGAGTGCTAGTCAGGGCTTCTGAACTAGCTTCCTGTTAATGTTCCTAGAAACAGCATGTGTTGGTCCAAGTACTTGGGTTCCTACCATCCATGTGGGAGGCCCAAGGCACCATTTCTGACTCCTGCCTTCAGCCTGGAACTATCATAGGCATTTGGAGAGCAAACCAGTTGATAGAAAAAAAGCTCTTTCTTTCTCTCTTACTCTCATTCTGCATTTCAAATAAATAAAAATCTTAAAATAATAACAGTAACCACTTCAGTGAATACCTGATTACCTCCCACTGCAGCCAAAACCAACTTTTTATATTTCCAAATTATTAGTAATTGTGGACTCTGCATGTGTTTGCACATAAAACAAATCTCTCTTTAAAAACAGATCTAGGATGCTATACACATCTAATAATGTACACTACATCTTCAAAACTTCCAAGTAAGTATAAATGCAATGCAATTTGGTTAGTTCAGTTATTTATTTACATCAAGAATATAATATGTTAACTGTCCAAGTGCCAAAAAAAGTTCTTTGTACCTGATAGAGCATAATAGGTTCTATGCTGTATCCTAAGGTATCAGCAAAGTTCTTAGCGATGACTGTTTTTCCGCAACCCTACAAACAGAAACACAATCATTCAAAGGGTTCATCTAAACAACCCAGCTCCAGAACCCTGAAGTTTACAGTGAAGCTGCTATTCTTACCTTTCCTCCAATTAAACATATGTCTTTAACCATATGTGATTGCATCATTTCAGCCAATAGCTGTTTATGGCTTAAAGTCTGTATGAAATGGTCTGATGTACAAGGTTCACTTAATGGTCTCGTTCCAGATGGCACCTATAATTAAAGAGTTAAATTTAGTATGCACATGGCATTCTCAAAAGATTAGCAACTTAAAGCATGTAACTCCCACTTGAAAATCCTCTACTAATTCCTTACTCAAATCAATACTAAACTATTTTTTGATACTGCAATACAGCAGTAACTATTTTCTCATTAACAGATTTTATGATCCTTCTCATCAAACTTTCAAATAAATCATTTCTCTAAAATTTAAGCCACATGTTGTTAGCTATTCCTAAGAAGAGTATCATAGCTGTGGCATTTATAACTTACAATGTCAAGGGAGAATGACGTTTTTTTTCCAAAAAAAAACTGCACTTGTAAGAATGAAATTTAATTAAAATAAATCTTGGTGTTATAATTGTGGCAGAATGGGTAAAGCCTCCACCTGCAACATTAGCATCCCATATGGGAGCAGGTTCAACTCCTGGTTGCTCCACTTCCAATACAGCTCCTTGTTAATGGCCTGGGAAAAGTAGTGCAAGATGGGCCAAGTGTTTGGACCACTGCACCCATGTGGGAGACCTGGAAGAAGCTCCTTGTTTCTAGCTTGTCCTTCCCAGAGCCAGCCACTGGGACACTCTGGTCAGTGAAACAGAGACTAGAAGGTTAGTCAGCCTCTCTGCGCCCCCTGGGCCCATGTAATTCTGACTTTCAAATAACTGCATACATCTTTAACATAAAGAAGGCGGTTAGTAGTGGGAGATGATGCAAATGCATGGGTCTCTGCCACCCATTTGGGAGACCAGGTTGAGTTCCAGACTCCTGTATTTGACCTGGCCCACCAAGGTCATTGTGACCACCTGGGGAGTAAATGAGTAGATGGATGCACTCTCTCTCTCTCAGCATCTTTCTCCCTACCCGCTTCCCTTACTCTCACTCTTTAACTCTGTCTTTCAAATAAATATTTTATTTTTTTCAAAAACAATTGCAAGGGGCCAGCATGGTGGCTCAATAGGCTAATCCTTCACCTTCAAGTGCTGGCATCCCATATGAGCACTGATTCATGTCCTACTGCTCCATTTCCAATCCAAGTCCCTGTTTGTGGCCTGAGAAAGCAGAAGAGGATGGCCCAAGTTTTTGGGACCCTGAACCAATGCAGGAGACTCAGAAAGATATTCCTGGCTCCTACTTCACATCAGCTCAGCTCCAACAATGGTGCCATTGCAGCCATTTGGAGAGTTAGCCAATGGATGAAGGCTCTTTCTCTCTGTTTCTCCTTCTCTCTGTAAATCTGCCTATCAAATAAAAATAAATAAATCTTTTTAAAACACATTGCAAAATAAAGTCATTGAATTCAATTACATTTCATCTTTAAAAGTAACATCTTTCAGAAACTCCAGAGTGACCAAACACCTCCTGGCTTTTAAAAGCTATATCGGGCCCAGCGCGGTGGCGCAAGTGGTTAAAGGTCCTCGCCTTGCACGCCCGGGATCCCATATGGGCGCCGGTTCTAATCCCGACAGCCCCGCTTCCCTTCCAGCTCCCTGCCTGTGGCCCGGGAAAGCGGTCGAGGACGGCCCAAAGCTTTGGGACCCTGCACCTGAGTGGGAGACCCAGAAGAGGCTCCTGGCTTCGGATCGGCATAGTATCGGGCCCGTTGCGCTCACTTGGGGAGTGAATCATTGGACGGAAGATCTTCCTCTCTGTCTCTCCTCTCTGTATATCCACCTTGCCAATTAAAAAAATAATAATAATAAAAATAAATCTTTAAAAGCTATATCCACAAATCCCATTCACACTTATTTTATCACTCAAAAGCATCTGTTCATTAAATCTCTTCTCTCACCCTTCATACCTACTTATCCTATTTTCTATTCTCTCCTAACTAGGCTCTGGTAACTCTGGACTGGATCATACTACATGCAACACAAATCTCAAAGAATTGGATGTTTGGAAATGATAAGATCAGATGTGAATTTCAGGAAAACCACCTGAGTACCAACACAGTAAGTAAAGTGTAACTGACCGAATACAGTGAAGTTAAGAGTGTGAAGACCAAAAGGCAGCAAATAATACAGCCTTGCTTTTGTCTCACATGTCTGATCATATTGTTTTAATGTCTAGAAATGCCCTATCATCTTTCCACTTGACCACTGGAAAAGCTCTGCTATTCTTTAAGACTTTGCTTAGGTCCCACCTCCTTTCTGAAGATTTCTATGCTTCTCCTCAATCGCAGTGCTACTTCCTGCCTCAAGCTCCCATGATCATTTCAATGTAGTGCTAACTTATCTGTGCCAGGATGAGTTTATACATCTGAAGGAGACAGATGAACACAGAAAATGATCAGTCTCACCTTTGCAGTGCACAGCTGGTGCTTATGTACCTCTCTGCACCTCAGTTTTATAATCCAAAAGTAAAATCAAACTTATCTTTGGAGATACTGGAGGATTTAAACAGTATAATCTACATACAGTGACAGGTATAGTGAATAGTACACATTAAATACTCAGTAAACCTCAACATGGAATCTGGGTCCTGGTAGATATGATTATTTCAATAAATGAATAAGTATAGTAGAATGAATAAATATTAATCATATCACCCTAACACAAAAAAAGTTTATCAGGAAATTTGCCAAAATGTAAGAAGGCTTATTGCTTCCTACATATATTCCTATCATTTATTGCTTCCTACATTTATTATTCTGCATTTTTAGAGCTGTATTTCTTAGTTTCCCATGATCTCTTAAGGTTTATAGGATCTTAAAAGAAAGAATTAGACAAAGAGGAAGTAGAGCAGGCAGATGGAGTTCCCTGACCAAGTATCACTCCCTATTTAAAAACACTGTTCAACCAGAACAGCTTCTCTATTAACTCTTTCAGGTAACTGAGAAAGATTTCACTTGAAAAAAGGTTTTCTAGCCACTAAATACACTGGAAAACACTCTTTCTTACCGAGGACTCACAGTGCAAAATGCTTTCCTTAATCAACACTTGATTGTTCAAAAAGAAAACTGTGGATTTTTGAAGAGATGTTATCGCTGGTTTCTTCTATAACATTGATTCTGTTTACATAGTTACATATATAACAGATACATAGATATGGGAGTGTAGGGTCAAAAAGGTAAAGAGTCATAAACCTAATGCAGGCCATAAAAATGGTCAGATCAAAGTATATCTTAGCAACAATAAACCTATGGCTCATTACCTTAATGGTTACCTCCTTTCCTGCAATGCTGATGGTCACAGAAGCTTGGAAGACATGGTTTTCAGCCATCCTCTCCACTCTTACAATCTCTTTGGGAAGCAGAGAGCTTTTCGAATCCTGAAGCTCAAAGCGCTGTAAAATTACAAGAAGATCTTGTCATTTGCTTTTTACTTCAGACTTAATATTGGGTATCTGAAAGATTCCATCTTAATTAGAACTGAAATTCATTCCACATTATAAAAGTTGAACTGAAACAAACATTAATAAAGGTCATTTTTCTTTTTCCAATAATACACCTACACTTAATTAGTAAAATGATATGAAAATGATCTCTTACATTTACTAACGGACAGAACAGGAAATGCAAACTCTTTCTTTGTATTCAAAAGTTCACATTTCCTGAAAAGGGATGATGAGACTCTTATCATACTAAAGTCCCATAAAGCATACAGCAATTTTCTTTTTAAATCCACATGAAGCTTGCATATTGCCTAAAATTCATGCAAACAGAACTTATTAGATATTGCTCCGCTGTCTACTTGTATGAAAAGCTTAACTGATAAAAAGAATTAAAATGATCAGCCTTCATTATTGTCTTGCAGTGTACCTTGTTCACTGTTATGTGTCTCACTTTTTTCCAAATTGCATTTAAAAACCAGGACTTTGGCTTTCTTCCTGATGTGGGGCAGTTAACAATGTCAGTTTTTAATTGCATATCTTACTTTATTATTGGAAAGGCAGATTAAATTTATAGAGAGAAGGAGAGACAGAGACAATGAGCTTCCATCCATTGGTTCACGCCTCAAATTGGCCGCTGGAGCTGAGCCAATCCAAAGTCAAGAGCCAGGAGTTGCTTTTGGGTCTCCCATGCAGGACAGAGTCCCAAGGCTCTGAACCAGGACACAAATCAGCAGCCATATGGGATCTCAGTGTTTGCAAGGCAAGGATTCAGCCATTGAGCTATCATACCAGATCCTATCAATGTTATACTGTTTCTATAATCTCTTAAATTAGCTCATTATTAAAAAATGGAAATGGACACACATCGCATGCCTTGCAGGGTGGGACAAAGTTGAGACTGTATGTGCAGTGGGGGAGGGGGCAGCACACTACCCAGAGAAGGCAGTCCGGGAATAATGAGAATAGGGGCCACCAAGAACTTGCTGACATGTGTGGAATGAGTTCTAGACCAGGCCAATGCACCTGCAGGTATTTAGGGGAGCTGTGACAGGGTAGGTCAGAAGAGGGAATCTGAAGGGTCAGCCAGCCTAAGCACCTGAATGTCAAAGCTAAGGGCAAACCAGGCCATACTGAAAGTTGTGCTTGGGGTGAGTCTAGCAGATGTTGTTTGGGGTTGCCTTGACTAGGATGCAGCTCTGCCATATATGCAAGGGCAGGGGCTGGAGACAGAAGGGGTCGAGAGAAGCCACAGCACCAACTGGTGAAAGTTGGGCCTGGGATGGAACACATTGCAGTACCTGCCATTGCATGTGATAATGAGGGCTGGGGGGTGGGAGGGGCAATTTCAGCTGGGCAAGGCCTTAGTACTTACTAGTGCATGTGAAAGCTGGGGCTGGAGGCAGGCTAGGCTGCGAAGGCCACAGCACCCATGGATAAAAGCTGGGACTGGGGGAAGGCAGGCTGGCCACTGCACCTTCTGACATATGCAAGAACTGGATCCATGGGTGGATATGATAGTGGTTATCATGTGCCATGCATGTGAGAACTAGGTCAGGGCTAAGCCAGGCTAGGCTTCAATAAGGCTGCTCTGACTAGGCTACAGCACCCAGCAGTGTGCATGAGAGACAGGTCTGAGGGTAGACTGGGTTAGGCTGGGCCACAGCATAGACTGCTTCACATTAAAGCTGGGACTGGGGGTGCAACTGATCAGGCAGCTATACTCACTTGTATGTGCACTGGCTGGAGCAGGGGATGGGCTGAACCTGGCCTTGCACGAATTGACACATACAAGAGCCAGGTGTGAGGACCTCCCAGGCAAAGTTTGTTTGGGGATTCCAAAACCGGATTATGTGCTCAAACTCTGACCGCAGAGAAAATCACAAGGACATATGACCCAACCCCAGAGCACATGTTGCAGAATTGGGCCACCTCAGTTACTGACTCCTGAGCAAGAATGGAGAGTATATCCAGATGCACATGAAAAGTAGGATAGCCAGCTCATCCAAGCTAACAGAGAACTTCAGGTACCTCATCAAAAGATGGAAAGCATGAACAACATTCCTGGCTAGGTTTGCAGCAAGCACCTAGGTCTACAGACTGAAGTAGTCATGATCAGCCAACAGACCTTCCAAAGAATCTCTTACCTCTGGTATAATGGAGCTGACAATTTCTCAGAACAATCAAACCACCCCAGTAACACCTTTGGAACATTCTTTCCCACACTGGGGTCTCCTAGGTGACATTAAGCAACCATCTCTGTTGCAGAACATGAATGTAGTTTGACAACAAAGAATGGTACACTCCTCCAACCCGTTCCCAACAGACACAGGAGAAATGACAGAAACATTTGTCTCATCCACATCCCCCATCCCATCCCAACCCTCTGCACCCTAACTGGAGGCCCACATGGGTCTGCAACCTTTCACCTATGTAACAAATGTTAAAATAATTTTAAAAAGATATGTGGCAATGTTGGCTGTGCAGCACAGACAATTAACTCACCAATTGTGTCACTAGCACCCTTTATTGGAATGTTAGTTTGAGTCCTGGGACCTCTGCTTATGATCAGTTTGGAGTTAACATGCCTGGGACAGGAGCAGATAATAACCCAAGTAGTTGGGTCCCTGCCACCCACACAGGAGACCCAGAAAGAGTTCCTGTCTCCAGAATTTGGTCAGGCCCAGTCTCAACCCCTATGACTATTTGGGGAGTGAACCAGCAAACAGAGGATCACTCTATCTCTTTTCCTCTGTCACAATGCCTCAAATAAAACAAAGCAATCTTCTTTAAAAATTATTTGTAAAGGCACATGTAGAGTAAATACGTGAAAAATGGGAATATTGGTTAGAAACTAAATAGATCCAAGGCCACACAGCATGATCAGTATGAAGAATTCTAACTTCATGCAAAATACAAAAAAAGAGAGAGCGAGATTTAGGTAAAAAAAAAAATTACACTTATATTCTCACAAATTAATGTTGTAATGGAAACTAGAATACCAGGAAACAAAGAATTGCAATGTTCATCTCTACTCCCCAATAAAAGAAGATCCGCAGTAAACTGTTAAATATACCTTGACAATAATATACTGGATTCTCTACCATTGCCTTTACCTACAATATGACACACAGAGCAGAATGCTGGAGTCGCTGCAGCAGCTGCAGGACTATATTATTGTAAACTACAGGGGAGAAAATGGGGGAGTGACAAAGGGAAAGAAAGGGAAAAAGCCCTATGTCTACAAAGCTGTAACAGAAAATAAGAATTTTTAGAAAGAAATTGATTTTGATATTAAAGAGATAGAAACTGTCCTCTCAAAATCATTGAACAACTAGCTTTAAAATATTATAATTACACTTATAGAATTGACACTCAATAAAAGAATGGATCCATTATATGTCATTCCAAACAGGAATTCCAGGATTCTGAAAATTGGATTTTTGGGAAAAAATATCATATTTGACTTCAATATTCTCAATGTAATAGCCTAATTTCAATCTTCACATTGATGTCATTAATTCTCTAGACAACTACTAATTTCTTTCTGCAAATCTAAGGAAAAAAAGAAACAGGAGCTCCACACTTCACAAAATGTATATACACACACACACACACACACACACACACACACGCAAATCTGAATAACATCACACAATTGGGCAAGAATTTTTTTCCATTGCATAGAAAAGCAGCAATTAAAACATTAATTTCAGGTAAACAAAAAAGGTTACATTGTCTTTACATTTTGAAAATTTCTTCTACTTGAGAGGCAGAGAAAAAGATAAAGGGGTTCTCACGCTCTGGCTCTTTCCAAACACGCACAACAGCCAGGAGCCATTACCCGGCTTCAAGTGAGGGGCGGGGTCACACCCGCTTCCCCCACCGCGCAGGGAGCAGAGCACAAGCTGAAACAGGAGCGCTCAGCCACACAGTCATCCACTCTGACAGGGAAGGTGGGCTTCCCAACTGGGGTCTTAACCCCTCTCCCACGGTGGATTATAATGAGGATTATAGATGAGGGAATAATGCCTAGCCAATAACGAAATTCATTACAATTTTGAACCAGCAGCCATTGATTTCCTAAAAAAAACCAAATAAATATATATATGTATATTTTTACTCCAATGATAGTAAAAATCTAAAGTCTATGAATCAAAACATCCATATTCCAGAAATGAACACAAATTCAGTGAACTACCTACTATACTGGTTATGTCTATTAATAATTTAAGCTAAATTATTTCATTAGAATAAAAATAGTCTAGAACACTCTATGACAGTAAAACAACTAAGTTTCAAGATGAATTACTTTTTGCTGACATATGAAATTTAGAGAGTCATCAATTAGAAAGGTAATTCAGAGTACTTTACATACAAAATTCTTTCAGGATATGTTAGCAAGAAGCAGAAAATCAATCCATTTTACATTTTAATCAGTTATTTCCTAAGAACTCTGAAATTTCAGTTAAACAAACAAACATCACTGATATATTTTCCTTGGGAAGACATTATTTGAATTGTGAGTTATGATTCAATAATCACATGATGCTGGTCTTGGTGGGACGGTTCTGGGTTCCCCTGGACCATTTTCCCAAGGCCCCTCAGCAGCTACAAAGCATTATTACCCTCCTTAAGTGGCAACTTGACCCACATCTCATGCTCAGCTAGCAAACGTTCAAGAGACATCCAGATGATATTTTTAGGCAGATATGTATGCTCTGAATCTGAAAAGTTCATCATCAGGCTCAGAAAAATGAATTAAGGCACTCATGCTTTACTGAGGAGTTAGAATTGTTCATTAACTAGCTCTTCTCATAATTACAGTAACAGAAGAACAGTAACACTTTATGTCTCTTACTTAAATAACACTGATTCCCTTTTTCCTTGCTTAAAAATGCCATAAGCGAAACTGAAATCTTTTGCTAATAATATGAGCCCTTAATTATTTTTTCCATGTTTTCCTTATTCATGAAGAACAAAATAAAGGTCAAATCAACTGAAGCAACATTACTTCCTTCAGACAATGCATCTCTAAAATTGTTCTATATCTTTACATAATTTACATGCATAGTACAGTAATTAGATACCACAAACATATCAAAGTAGTTTCTTTGTCAAGATAAAATCTTCAAGAAGGCTGATGTTGTGGTACAGTGGCCACCTGTGATGATAGCATCCCGTATGGATGCCAGTTTGAGTTTTAGCTGCTCTGCTTCTGAATCAAAATACCTGCTAACATACCTAGGAAGTCAGGAGACTGGCTCACCAGCTTGGAGCCCTGCCGCCCACAGGGGAGACCCAGATGGAATTCCAGACCAGCTTCACCCCAAGCCTGATGGTTGAGAACATTTGGGGAGTCAACCAGCAGATGGAAGAGCATTCTTTCTCTGACCTACCCTCTCTCTAACCCTGATTTCAAATAAATAAGTCTTTCTTTAAAAAAAAACAGAAAGATAAATTCTTCACTCAAAATGAGTGTTTCAAGACCCTAATAATGTTCACACATTGTGTGACAAAACAACAATGTGACGCTTCACTTTTCAGACTCTCCCTCCAGTTTCTTGTTGAACAGACCTTGCCCCCTAGGCAGCATGATGTGACAGGTGCTGAGGAAACTCCTCAGGAATCACATTCTTCTTAAGCATGAACTGCTCCTCCTTGATGTCCATGCCAATTTAGTTCAGAGGCTGATTACATCAATGATAAGTTGCAGTTTTCTTTTTTCTCACCACCTGGAATTAACCTCAAAATGAAATCTAGGGGGTAGTTTTGTACTGTGATGCTGCCTGCAAGGCCAACAGTGCATGTGGGTGCTAGTTTGTGTCCCAGCTGCTCCGTTTCTGATCTAACTCCCTGCTAATGAGCCCAGCAGAGCAGCAAAAGATGGCCCAGGATGGCCCTGCCACCCACATGGAAAACCTGGAAGAAGTTCCTGGTTCCTGGCTTCAGTCTAGTCCAGTCCTGGCCCTTGGGGCCATGTGGAGAGTGAACCAGTCAATGGGAAATCTCTCACTATCACAAAGACACACCTTTCTCTCTCTACATTTCTCTCTTCTCTCACCTTCAAGTAAATTATATTTTAAATACATTTCTTTGCATTATATATATGCATGTTGTATATGTACATATATAGTTAAAATGATAGCTAGTTCGCTGCTTGAGCCCATTAATTAATATCCTCATTTCTAAATGGTTCTTAATATTCTTCCCCATCATCTTCTTGCTCTTCTTTCTTCTCTCCCTCCATTCTCTCTCTCCTCATCTTTCTTCTCTTTCATGAGTTGCTGCAATTTCACTGTTTCTACTCTTTCCTGCCTCTGTTTTGCTTCTCCTCTCTATTGACCACTATGTTCTCCCTATTTCTTTCTGTTCATCTTTTAGATTTGATCCTTAAGTACATTTTTCAATTTCTATGGGAGATGGCTTTTTATCATATTTAACTTTCTAGTATTACTGACAAAGCAAAACTACTGTTTCTCTGGGTTCTTTGGCTACCTGCTCTGTCAAAAAATCTCCCATTCCTCTCCTCTGTATAGAGTTTCTTCTGTACTGTCAAGGACCCTGTGGAGACTTGAGGATAAGGACAAATATCATTCTGTTTGCAGAAGTTGACAAGTCCTGGATTCCAGAAAAATTCAGGTCTTATCAATACACCATAGTGTTTAATGTTCACATTTTACCTATTCCTGAGAAATCTTTAAGAAAACCATGTAAGAAAAAAAAATTTCATAAGAATGAATTAATTCAAGTGAGTCAATAAATCTCTGTCAAGATGCGACACTTTTAAATACATAATCACCAGCCAGCAGACAGTGCCACTGGCGTCTTACAGTACGCCACTGTTAACTGTGCCATGGTGAAATGGTGCCACACAGATTGTAAAAGAAACCCACATCCCACAAGCCACTTACATAAACAATGAGAATTTCATTTGTTTAAATGGCAGCTCAATAACAGTTTCCATAGTTTCATATAACACACTCATTTTTTTCAAGCTAATAATTAAAGTTATAGACAGATTACTGCAGTATTACAGTGCATATTTTCTTTTTAAAATTGGTTTGAAAGTTAGCTGCATAATTGGCTTTTAAGCTTTGTTTTTTTCACTTCAAAGTAATTTCAAACTAATCCCCCACAGGAAAGTTGCAAGACATACTTGTATCAAGAACTCACATTTCACATCCACCCAGATTCCCCGATGGTTAACATTTTAGCACATTTTTTCTCACCCTTATACTATACACACACACTATATACACACACTGAAGAGTCTGCAAGCAGCCTATAGATGTGATGCCCCCTCAACTCCCAACATTCCAACACATATGTCTGGACAACAAGAAATGTAGCCAATGTAATCGCCACACTAATCTCCAAATCATGAAATCACCTTAATACAACACGGCCATCTGAACCCTACAGCTCATTTAGTTTGACCACTGTGCTAACAATGTCACTAGTTCCTATGTGGCCCAGGAAGCAATGCAGAAACATCGGACGTATGATGCATTTTCCCATCTCACCTCTTCAGTTTTCCTCTGATTTTCAAGCTCTGAATAGCTTTTTGCTGCCTGGTGCAGTAGCCTAACGGTTGGGGTCCTCGCCTTGCATGCACCAGGATCCCATACAGGTGCCAGTTCTAATCCCAGCAGCCCCACTTCCCATCCAGCTCCCTGCTTGTGGCCTGGGAAAGCAGCAGAGCACGGCCCAAAGACTTGGGAATCTGCACCTGTGTGGGAGATGAAGAAGAAGCTCCAGGCGCCTGGCTTCAGATCAGCACAGCTCTGGCCATTGCAGCCACTTGGGGAGTGAATAAACGGATGGAAGATCTTTTTTCTGTCACTCCTCCTCTCTGTGTATCTGACTTCCCAATTAAAAAAAAAAATCTTAAAAAAAAACCCCAGCTTTTATTTATCCTATAAAATGGCCCTCAGTAAGACTAAATCATATTCCCCTATGGTCAATCCGACATCACAAATCTTAGCATTTCTTTGTTCTACAAGAATGATAGTTCTCAGTATGACACACTTGAGAGAAATGAGATGCTCTCACCCAGTCAAGTTAGTATTTAAAGTCAAAATACTACTGCATGATTTTGTATTCAACAGAATATTTGTGAGAAGAAAATTCAGGGATTTTACCAACGTCTTTCTCATAGGACTTCCACCCATCGTTTTCCTTTTATACAATTTGTTCCTGGTTTACCAGTAGGCATTCTACACTAAGGAAGAGATTTTCCTTCTCTCCACATTTTCATAATTCATTTGAGTCTGTGTGGGTCCATTGCTTTCTGTTTCATTCAATTAATTAATTAATACTAATTTGTTTTTTTCAATGCTGCAATTATCCCAGATCTCTGCCACTTTAGCCTGGTTCCTCTATTATTTTGACATGTCAATATCAGTTATTATACATGTATCTATCTGTTCCCATTTATTGAAAAAAAAAGCAGGAATCATAATGATATTTTTAATTCCAATTCAACACCTCAGGATTTCTTGTTTTCTCTCCTTTCAAGCTTATAAATCTGTCTTCCAACAGTGACAAGTAAGGTTCTCATTAACCAAAATACATTCATTCATTTGTTTAAGCAATTTATTTATTTGTCCAACATAATTAATATCCCAATTGTATCAGGCCCAGCCCTTGTTTCCCATGACTACTTTCTGGTTACTGACCCATCCGGGCTTCCATGCCTGGACAAGAAGATAATGGACAGCAAGAAAAGAAAGAAAGATTGGGAGAGAAAAATGCTGGAAATAAGGAAGGAACTGATGGAGGAAGAGAGAAGGCAAAATGAAGTAGGGCAGACACTCACTTTTAAGACATCTTCAACAGCCATCTTCCCTTCATGTCCTAAGAGAATACTGTATGGATAAAGCCACTGGATTGCATGCTTGACTGACATCATGGGAAAGCAATCCTATTTTGGAGCAAAAATACATAGAAATAAATCACTTCTAATATAATCACAGAAAATTGCATCTGAAATGCAGACATTTGTTAAATTTATTTTACGACAATAACCAATAGAGTTTTTAAAAGTATACAAAACAAGCATCCAGTAGCTCCTTCTCTTTTCCCTGAGTAATCTAACTAGTCCTCACTTTCCATGTACTTATCTATGTTTTTTTTTTCTATTTATTTGATTTCATTTTATGACACAGTTTCATAGGCTCTGGGATTTCCCCAACCTCTCCCCATGCCCTCCCCCCATGTTGGATTCTTCCACATTGTTGCAGCAGTACAGTTCATATCCAGTCATGATTCCCTCATTGTGGGCATATACCATGCATAGAGTCCAGCATGCTATTGTAAAAATAAATTTAGCAGTTTCATTGGGAGACCATCCCTAGTCTGAAAGTAGAGCTGGCAGAATATCACCCCATCCAATGAAAAGACATAACATCACTTCAACAAAAATTTACAACATCATGGAGTTAACTGACATGGTATTGAGTGACCAGTATGTTAGAAAATGCAAGTTCTTAACCACATCCTGTGACTACTTCATTGACATTTCAATTTTAGTTGATGTACAACTGGCTGCTCTACTCCTTAAAATGGTTATAGGGTATTATTCAGCTGTCTGGTGTCTATTTTCATCTTTATATTTAGCTGTTTATAGTATTGAAGCATAATTTTTACTGAACTCGGCGAATTTTAGGACAGTCCAACCCAGCTTATAATTCTAACTAGGCATATGTTAACAATTTAGGCGCAAAACAGTTTTAGGGAAGGGGGTGCAGAGAAATCTATACCTTAGTGAGGAGTAACTAATTTTTGTGTCCTGCCTAGTGAGGTATATGTGAGTCCAAGCTGTCTGTTTCCTGTCTACTTATCTATGTTTTGATGGCACCCATGTCTCTATGTCTAGTCCTGAACTCCAGACATGAATGAACCATTGGTGTATCCATTATAAGTGGCCATATGAATATTACATAAACCACATTTCAACACATTTGAGACTGAACATACTGCCCTTTCTATTCATCCCAAAGTATCTCATCTTCCTCATATAAGCTATAATCTCATCCACATTAATTTGGCTTCATAGTTGAACCTGCAAAGTTGGAAAGCATTCATTAAGCTCAAACCTTACCCCCTCCAAATCAAATTCTATTCAAAACTATTTTCATACCATTTTAATAAGTCTATTGAAAGGGACCATTAGAAAAATTTCAATATGGACTATCTAATAGACAATTCTAGAACTACTGTTCATATGACGTAAACAGCAAAAAACGGTGTTCAACTGTTTAAAATCTGAGCATTTTCAAAAATAAAAAGTACTGAGCAAAAAGATGCAAACATGATTTAATATTATTTTATTATTTAATAAATAGGAGGAATAAATGCTGTTTTGAATATGAAGAACCACAAAACAACACCTGGAAAACCTAACTCCTTAGCTTACAGGTAACATGTTAAAACACACAAAAATAAAAACTTAAACCTAAGAGGCTCTTGTATAAGGAAGTATCTCCAACTGCTGGGATGAGCCCCTGCTTAGCAATACCTCACTGAGAAATGTGCACAGGCTCTACCAGGTCCATCCTGCTGTCTACATAGATATCTTTCTTAAGCATAAAACTCATCATCTTATACCTTACCTACTTCTTAACATGTGCTAGGCCACGTTTTCCTCCTCATGAAATCCAGGCAGCTTCATTCTCCATGCAAGATACTTCACAATAGGGTTCTAACTTCTCCCTCTATCACAAACACTTGAAGTCTCGCAGCATACCAGGTCCCTTTGTGACTAAATACCTTTGCAGTGCTTTCCATCATTTTAAACCTAGCTGCCATCCATGCCTCTTCCGAAATGAGAGGGGGAAGATCTGGGGTTTTTTCCCTTTGTCAAATTCCCTTTGGACTGTATCCACTTTGTGTGTCTCTAAGCCTTCCCACCTCACAGCCAGTCCCACAGGTATTTTTTAAGAAGACTGCTCTGAGGCTAGAAGCAGCTTTGGTCACAGGCAGGAAGACCCATTGGAGCCTAGGAATCTGGGTTCATTGAGAACACCATTAACCAAAGACTGATTAGTGCTAGACTCCAAAGCCCCAGCTGCTCTGCCTCAGGTTGGGAGGGATCTGAGGTCTGACTTACCATGCAACAACCCCTTTTCCTTGATTCAGCAAGAAGCCTTCCTGCCCATCCACCCACCCACCCACCCCACCTGCCTGTGGAGCTTTCACTGAAATTGCCTGGATACTTCCTCAAGCTCCAAAGCTGGAAACTCATTAGGGCTTTCAGAGTGTGTCCTTGGTCTCCGTCTGGTTTACTGCACCAAAGAGCAGATAAATCGCAAATTAAGCTCTGCAACATTTATAGAAGAATGTGACAGAGCAAAAATATAAAAGTAAAAGAGATTAACTTTCAAATTTTATTTGTCGTACTCAGTGTATTAGCCATTTATTTTATACATACCAGGATTTGAACTGCAGCTGGTAAATTATCCAAAGGGAAATCTGGAAGTCCAAGAGTGGAAGATTCTTGGGAACAGAGAGTTGTAGCAAATGACAAGAGCTGAGAAATCCTAGGGAGGAAAAGGATCATGAATTTTACTGAGAAAGTATAAAAATATTAAATATAAGAGTAACTAAACTGATTTAATTTTTCAAAACTAATTCCCTGTTAATTCTTAAAGAATAATGGCTCCATACCATAAAATTTCACTTAAGATTCCAAAGTTAACTAGATCTATCACTTCAAACTATCACAATATGCAAGGCCCTTCACAATCTGGCTTACATCTGCCTTGTGAACCTCAACTGTCTTCTTTTTTATTTCAATGCTAAATGCTATCCACCTGGAACCTCTTACACCTGTAATACCACAAAACATGTTAATTCATGTATCCCATGGTTTAAAACTAAATCTCTTAGAATCCTTGAAGCCATTCTCTGGCAAAAGTATATTCACTTTTTTTAAAAAGATTTATTTATTTTTATTGCAAAGTCAGATATATAGAGAGGAAGAGAGACAGAGAAGAAGATCTTCCATCCGATGATTCACTCCCCAAGTGCCTTCAACGACTAGACCTGTTTATTTGATCTGAAGCCAGGAGCCTCTTTCAGGTCTCTCACACCCTGAGGTTTTGGCTGTCCTCGACTGCTTTCCCAGGCCACAAACAGGGGCTGGATGGGAATCAGGGCTCCCAGGATTAGAACTGTTGCCCAAATGGTATTCCGGGCGTTCAAGGTGAGGAATTCATCTGCTAGGCTACAGTGCTGGGCCCAAAAGTCTATTCACTCTTTAAGTTCTATTTTAATTGCAAGTGTATTGGGAAGACCTTATAAGGGATCAACTACAAACAGCCTCAATAGTTTGAAATTCTGGCATATGCTATATTTTGTTTAAGCTGCTCATTATCTTTTTGGCTGAACTAGATCTAGAGTTTCTTGGCATCAAAAAATCATTTCTTACTAATTTTATCAAAAGCACTTACCAATATCCCAATACTGAAAAATTTTTCAAAGAATTATTGCCGAGTGAATGACTGAATCAACCAATGAACAGGCAAAACAACTTCAATGTTAGGTCTGAATATTTACAAAAATTCACTTACTTGTCAGCAGATACATTGGCTCCAACTGAATATAACAGTTTAAGTTGGTCCTAAAACAACATAGAAACATGTCAAATCAATTAATAAGAAATATCAAGATACATGCAAATGCTTTGATACAACTCAAATTTTTAATTAAGCAGACTCAAATAACAAATAGTATGAAATAATTTATTAACAAAATTTGTTTTTGAAAAGTGTCACAAACAGCTTCAAAGAACGCCATGATCATTTTCCTCCCTGCTTTATAGATTTTCTCTATCCTATATCCATTTCTTTCTGTTAGCTACTAACAAAAATGCTAAAAGCATAGCAACATTTTTATACAACTCAATTATACCTACAAACATAAAAACTATTATTAAAAATAAGTTGTTGGGTCTAGTGTGGTAGCCTAGCAGCTCAAGTCCTCACCTTGAACATACTGGGATCCCCTGTGAGCACTGGTTCTAATCCTGGCAGCCCCACTTCCCATTCAGCTCCCAGCTTGTGACCTGGGAAAGCAGTAGAAGCAAACCCAAAGCATTGAGACCCTGTACCCACATGGGAAACCCAGAAGACACTCCTGGCCTGGCACAGGATTGGCTCAGTTCTAGTCGTTGCAGCCACTTGGGGAGTGAATCAATAGACAGAAGATCTTTCTGTCTCTCCTCCTCTCTGTATATCTGGCTTTGCAATAAAAATAAATAAATCCTTAAAAAAAAACAAGTTGTCTTTAATCATATTTACCTTGAAGGGTAGAAAGTAAATATCTCTGGCTTGAAATCGAGAGCGGAGAGGAGGGTCTAATGGATTCCCAGAGTATCTTGGCACTGGCAAACCCAGGGCAATCACTCGGAAATTCTCACTGACTCGAACAATCTTCCATGCATCCAGTTCTGCCTTAGTATGATCCTTTAAAAAATAAGAGGTTGAAGAACTATGACATGCATGAAACAGATTACAACTTCAAGGTCTGTCAGGCCAAGGAACTTAGGCCTTGGCTATTGAGAAAAATATTAAAAAAAGAAACTGTCAAGGTTGGAACTGTGGTACAGCTGGGCTTCCACCTGTGATAGGCAACCCCTATGGAGGATTAGTTTGAGTACTGGTTGCTTTGCTTCCCATCCGGTTCAATGTTACAGCACACGGGCAGGCAGTGAAAGATGGTCCAATCAAGTGGGATAACTGAATGGAGTTCCTAGTTCCTGACAGCAGGCTGTTCCAGCTGTGACATTATTGCCATTTGGAAAGTAAAGCAGTGGATTAGACTCCCTGTGTGTGTGGTGTGACTTGCCCTCTCTGTTATATTGCCATTCAAATAAATAAAAATAACTCTAAAAAATAGACAAAATGAAACCTATTAAGTAAAAAGTAAACCAGGATCAGGTTACCAGGCAAGACTCATAAAGCGAGACTGGTGTTTGAAAGTAAAAGTAGCTAACACATCAGAGAACAGAGGAAACTTATATTGGTTCTTGAACTCTAGTCAGTAATAGAGCAAAAAAATGATCAGGGGGGAAAGGAACACATGATTATCAGCAGACCTCCATGGAGTGGAGAATGCCCATGGATCCCTAATAGATATGTGAGTCTTTTTCTAGAAAGGCATATCATTGGTAAAAGCTAATATGTTCCATGGATTTTCCACATTTCATTTTCATCATAATAAATACTTAATGCTCCTTTTATAACTTGTCCATGGGCCTGCAACTAGTATATGGTAGCTTAAAAATTGAAACAATTTAGGCTTTGAGTAACAAATCCTAACTCAACTATTTGATGAACACTTAACTAAAGAACTGAAGCATGTTATTCTACTTTTAGAACCTCAGTTTTTCCAGTTATACAGTGGAAATAAAATTCTCTACTACGTCTGCTATAAAAATTAAATGTGAGACTATACATGAAAGCAACTGACCCACAGAGGCGCCTAAAAGGTGTTTTTTCTTCCTTCTCCAACTAACTCTGTCTTCACTGCCTTCAGCAGTAGGATCCATGGTGCTCAAAATGGTTCAACAGACCCTTGCAGGGTTCCCCTAACAAGGTGCTCTAGGCCGATCCTGGCAGGATTCAGCTCCCATTGTACAGCTTGCCCCTTCCACGCCTTCCCTGACCCATCCCACAACTGAAGCCCCCCAGTCGGCCGTGATACTTCCTTGGGGCTGCTGCACTTTCTTCAATCACCCTACTCATGTTGTGCAGCACAAACACAACTGTCATTCTGAGCTCAGCGCAAATGAAATCTTCATGAACGCAAGCCCTTTCCTGATCTGCTCTCCCATCGGAATCACTTTGGACCCCTTCACCGGATCCTCTTGAAGCTTCTATCATATATTACCTCTATACATGATTCTTTCATACTACAACTGTTTATCTTTGTAAAATACCAAGAAGTATTTTTCTGTTAAGATTTCTTCATTTTTATTTGAAAGGCAGATTTACACAGAAAAGGAGAGAGAAAGAGAGAGAGAGAGAATCTTTAAACTACAAGGTCATTCTTCAAAAAGCCCCTAAAGCTGGAGCTGAATCATTCCAAAACCAGGAGCCAGGAGCTTCTTCTGGGTCTCTCACAGAGGTGCAGGGTCCCAAGGCTTCAGGCCATCCTATTCTACTTTCCCAGGCCACACGTAGGTAGCTGGATTAGAAGTGGAGGTGCCAAACACAAACCAGCGCCCACATGGGATACCTACATGGGATACCTACACTTCTAGGCAGAGGATTAGCTTGTTGAGCCGCCATGCTGCTGGATGCAGTCTCTTAAAAGCACATTTTTATTCTTGAATATGGTAGGTTACATGTTTGTTGGCACACTTCATGAATTAATCTTAAAAAGTATTACTGAACTCATGACCTAAATCACATACCAGAGTTAACCAAGAGACTGGAATGTTTCCTCACCATGCAAGCACCAGGATCTCACATGGGCACTGGTTCATGTCCTGGTTGCTCCACTTCTTTTCCAGCTCCCTGCTTATGTAATGGGAAAGCAGCAGAGAATGGTCCAAAGCCTTAGTACCCTGCAACTGTGCTGGAGACTGAGAAGAAGCTCCTAGCTCCTGGCTTCAGATTGGCTTAGCTCTAGCTATTGTGGCCATTTGGGGAGTGAACCAGAAGATGGAAGACCTTTCTGTCTTTCCTCTCCATAACTCTGATCTGCCTTGCCAATTTTAAAAAAATCTTTTTTTAAAAAAAACTACAGTTTTGAAAACTTTTAGCGACAGAAATTGTTATAAGATGGTAAAGTCTTATAAAAGTAACATGCTAAATTCTGTGAAATTCTCATGAGACAGATTCTACCAATACAGAAATAACATTTACTGATAGAAATCATGCATTTCTTGTAATATGTACCTGAGGCGGGGGGGAATACAGATTTTTCTAAACAATAAACACTTTTTTTAAAGAACGCCCAACGTGTTCTGTAACTTCACACAGAATTTGATTGCTACAATAGATTGCATATTAAACTTCTCTTTTGAATAGAAATGATTCCATATTCTGAGTATTCTTTATCAATATATTACTAAAGTGTGTGAATAACTAATATAAGGCTAAATTGATGTTTTATAATTAGAGAAGGTTTACAGAGATAAGTATTCTACATGCTATCCATCTCCTTTCAGAAGCAGTGAAAATGTTTCATTCAGTGAACAAAATGAAGGAATGAATTTAACTTCTTCTTACTACTTATGTCTTTAATTGTCTCCGTCTAGATCCAGAAGATAATGATTAAATCACACTATAAAAACCTCTTCTAGAAATTCTCATAGCCAGTACATGAAGAGACTACTAAAAAGGTCACTAGGTGGGTTGCAGAGAAACCAACTTGTAAAGCAGGAATCAGAAAGGGATGCTCCTGGCCCACAAGTCAACAGAGTATCAGGCTGATAAAATTCTGTGATGTCAACATCTGTTTCCTACTGTTTAGTGCTTTCTGAGCTTGCATCAGTACCTGGAACAAGATCAAGAAGTAGAAAACAGGGGATCAGTGCAATAGCCTCGTCACTAAATCCTCGCCTTACATGCACCGGAATCCCATATGGGTGCCAGTTTGTGTCCCGGATGCTCCAATTCCAATCCAGCTCCCTGCCTGTGGCATGGGAAAGCAGTAGAGCATGACTTAAAGTTTCGGGCCCCTGTACCCATGTTGGAAATCAGGAATAAGTTCCTAACTTTGGATTGGCTCAGCTCTGACTCAGTTCTGGCTCAGTTGTGGCTACTTGGGAGTAAACCAGAAGACAGAAGATCTTTCTCTCTGTATCTGTGTCTCTGTAAATCTGACTTTGCAGTAAAAATAAATAAAATGTTAAATTAAAAAAAGCAGAAAACACAGACACTGTTTTTGAGCAACTAGCAGTTCATCTGGAGCAGGGCGGTGGGAGGGGGACAACATTAGTATATGCATGTCTTCAGAACAGGGACAAAACTGACTCTAAGTCCTAGAATGCAGTCACAGAAGGCAGGATGAGCTGCAGAGGCATCCACTGTGGTGTGTCTGAATGAATAAGCGCTCTGTGTCCTCTTGTCATTCACATAACACACTTCCCCTCCAAAGCCTCTGATAAGTCCTCATCTCCTGATTGTTGTCCTCCAGCTCCCTACTTGTGGCCTGGGAAGGCAGTCGAGCACAGCCCAAGGCATTGGGACCCTACACCAATATGGGAGGCTCGGAGGAAGCTCCTGGCTTCCGGTTGGCTCAGCTCTGGCCATTGCAGTCACTTAGGGAATGAATCAGTGGATGGAAGATCTTCCTCTCTGTACATCTGACTTTGCAATAAAAATAAATCTTAAAAGAAAAAAAAAGAATTCTACATAACAGCAAACAGGCAGAAACATGGCTTTAACCTTAAATGAGAACATAAACTTCACTGATAAGTTTACAGAGAAGCAAAGCCTCCAAGTAGATACAGATGTGAGCCAAGTGAATACCTGGAGAAAACCATTCCGAGAGCAGGAAAGTACACATGCAAAGGCCAGCAGGTGGGAAATAATCTACTTCATGTGTTTAAGGCATAACATGAATACTAAGAAATGAACCACAGTGTCTCACTATTAAGACTTTGAACTTGATTCTGAGTGGAACATGAAACCATTAGGATTGGGGAATAAAACTAACCTAATCTGATGCCCGTATAAAGGTCATCACTCACTGCTGGGATGGAAACAGTATAAGCGGACAGATATATGGAAACAGGAAGTATACATAGGAGCTTCTGACAACATCCCAGGCAAGAGATGCCAGTGGCATTGACCATGAGCATCTTGTTTAAGCACCGACTCATTTTTGTCAGCTCCTCTGGATTTTGGACTTTGTAAGGCCAAGAACAAGCCTAAAGCTAGACTCCCTAAGCTTTGTATCCATGAAGCCCAGCACAGTCCAGAAGCCTTTGGGCTTTCTATAAATAGTTCTTGAAAGATGGACAACAAGAAGAAAGAGGACAAAGGGAAGGAGAGAGAAAGAGAAGAAGAAAAATGGGTACAAGAAGTTATTAGACAAAACAAAAATCTGCAAGATCTTTTGGCCTGGTCTACAAAACTGTCAATTCAAGACTTTACTTCAGCTAATTGCCAAAGATATGGACCACCTAAGCATTTGTCCTGATTCTGAGATAACCAAGTCTTATACAACAAAGCATCACTACATAGAGTTTGAGGGAACTTCGCAGCTGGACTTTTCTCTTACTTGGAGAAGTTTGTCGTACCGCTCAGCAGACATCAGGAAGCGTCCATCCTCAAGTTGCATTTCTCTGTTTTCCAGCAAGTTGTTCAGTACAGGCAGGACATTTCTCTCTGCCTTCTCCAAGCCTTCCAAAACCAGAGTTCTGCCTTCAGTGGCTGCGCGGACTGCACACTATCAACAAAAGATAAAGGCAAAAAATGAGAAACAGGGCTCATTAAACCAAGCACTTCCTGAACTGACACATATCCTTCTATAGTACCAAGACAATCAAGAGCAAAATACCCAGACCCTAAGTGCCAACGGCTCCCTGCTTCTCTGTACAGGACTTACCCAATCTGCATTCCTGCCCAGAATGGCCCAAGACCTCCAATACCTGACTTTCCTGGCAAGTGAATAGCCATGCCATCCTGAGCCATGTCACATGCTAAACTACAACCACTCTAGCACTGAACACAAAGCCAGTTATAAACCGAAGTGTGACTGCCGTGTGTCAAGGGTATGAAATAGCCTGAGACCAAGAAGGCATGCCCATGCCTCCTCAACCTGATAAAAATCCACGCAATTCCCATCAGGGAGCCAGTGTCTTGAAATCTCTTCCCATCTTCCCCTCATTGCTGCCTTCCTTGCGCTAGAGCAAAAAACCCGATAAACCCCGCCTAGCTGCATGGTAGCCTTTTGGTAATTTCTATTGCAAGACAGTCAAAGAACCTGCAATGGGGAACAAAATATGAATACAGAAGTCTTAACTTCACTTATACTACAAATTCAACTTGAGATTCTTGTTAAGTGGACAACAATTAGAAAAGCTGAAATCCAGAACTTTTTTATTCTGGGGCACCTGATTATTTGTTTTTAGAGACACAATTTCTAAGGTTCCTTTCACCTTTAGCACTTTTAATTTCATACACAATGAAGGAGAGAGCAGCTATGAAAGAATGAATAGCATAATTCAACATAGGGTAGATTTCTTAAGTATTAGTGAGAAATTAAGATAACAAACTATCCTATATCCACCTTTATAAGTTTTTTGTGAAGACCGAATAAGCTAAGTGAGAAGGCTTTCCCCAGGAGCGATCATCAGAGTGAATTCAGATACAGTGTGATGCTCCAAGTTGACAATACATCACACCTAGCCAAATAGTCAGATCTTACTTTGGCCCACAGCACATTGACTTCTTCAGTGTCATATGTTTTCTAAATGTATGTAGAAAAGTGGAAACAACACAGATCACAAAGGATTGAGAGACCATAATACATTCTTCTTTAAAAAAGTGAAAAAAAAATCCTGCTTTAACTGACAGGAACTGAACTACGCAGAAAGTGACTATTTTTTAGTCAAAATACTATTTTTTAGTCAAAATACCTGAAAATCTGATAGAAAGGCAAAGCACAATATTGCTTCTGTGCCTTCAACAACAGAGGATTAATAGTGCTAAATCTATATCATCATTCTCTTTTCAAGTCAGCTTCTTTGTCTTCATGATTCTTTCAGAAAAACACTCTCTTCTTTGTCCATTAATTGTAGATGATGCCAAGAATACTTAACCCAAAACTCTTTTCACCTACAAGCCCCTTCCTGAGCAATCCTATCCAACTTATAGTTCCAACCCTCTAGTTCGGAGAATGTCTCTTCAAACTAAAACCCTCTTACACTTTATAAACTCACTGCCGCATCACAAGGTCTCCAACCAGCTCACATAAGCACCTCAGGCTCTCCTGTGGAATACTGACACACCTTATTTCCCCTAAAATGTACATTTCCTTTTATACTTTCTACTTAGAATGAGTGCATCATTTATTTGTGTCCTGAGCTGTGACTCCTGTCTCACCATGACTTGATAATCTAACTTGCTTAACATTTTTTAAAATTCCTGCCCTAATTCATGCCTCCCTTTTCAGAGGTCCTTCATTATTGTCCAAACTCCTTAATACGACATTGAAGCCTACCACATTATGATCTCCAACATCACCTCCTAACATTGGTTGTTTCATATGTGGTACTTTTAACACAACAAATTGACTACCTTACCCCTATACATGTACGTACCACCTTGTTTTACTGGACAGTCTCTAAGGTCGTTACTTACCCTGATTCTTCTGCTTAAAATTTAATTTTCCCTTTAGTAATCAGCCCAAAAAGAATTTAAATGATAGAAGGACAAAAAAAAAAAAAAAAAAAAAAACTGCCTCTGCTATTTTCTGGACTTAGCACAGCATTTATTTTCCAGAACAGGTGTTATTGCTAAGTCAAGATTGCATATTGTCTCCTTTTAATAAATTGCTGAAGTTTATACTGTGTAAGACAGTTCAGCTTATTTCAGGCATATACATACTAAAAGAATATCTCTCTTTGAAACTGAAGACTCAAAGATAATCATATCCTTTTAAAAATAAGACAAATTTCAGCCAATGGAAATTGGAAGGGATTCTTCATCCTTGGATCAGAGAGATCAAAAGCATTTCAGAACTATCAAAACCACCTGGGTAGAACCCTCGGCGCGTGTACTACATTAGGACCCTGGGTGGATATTGGGTGGCCTTTCCTCATCCCTGGGTACTGGGGCAGTTGAAAGGCTGAATATAGTTCATCCCCTTATCTCCTTTCTTCCCCAAGAAACAAAAAGAAGCAGAAAATTTGGAAACAATTATTACATCCACTTTTTCCTAACCCTCAATCCTTCTCACCCTGATCAACTATGTAAACATCATCAAAAATAAAATTCTACAGAAAGAGAAATTTAAGAACATTCTTTCAAATCTATTATCTATTATTTTAGTTCTCTCTTACCAAATTGGCCTTCATATTACAGTGGCTTTTTTGTTCTTAATTTGAAAGGCTCTTAGAAAGATACACAGAGAGAGAGAGAGAGAGAGAGACATCTTTCATCTGCTGCCTCAGTCCCCAAATGGCTCCAACAGCTGGGGCTTTGAGAGGCTTAAGCCAGGAAACAGAAGCTTCATTCTGGTCTCCTACGTAAGCGCACGGGCCCAAGAACTTGGATCATCTTCTGCTGCTTTCCTCAGCAGATTATCAGGGAGCTGGATCAGAAGCAAAAGAGCTGGGATTCGAACTAGTGCACATACAGAATATAGGCTTTGTAGGTAGAAGCTTAACCTGTGATGCAACCATGTCAGCCCAGGCTGTATTAGGGAAAAAAAGGTATGGGTAGAAGTGACCTAGGAGCTCCTCAGTAACAAAACTATGAGAATCTCATATTTTTTTCTAGCTATGGAAAGACAAAACCATAAAATAGTTTCTGGAACAATACAAATTAAAATACAAACTAATTCTTATAAAAATTCATGTTTTACATAAGGTCTCAATTAAGCTTTTGTTCTTTAAGAATCGATTTACTGTAAGAAAATATCATTCAGAACACAAGACCTAAATTATCATAACCTGTGATAACAATATTTTTAAAAGCCTCTTGATCAATCTCCTTACAAGACAAACTAAATATTGCATCTGAGTTTTAAAAGTTCAAACAGATGAAAATACATGCTCTTTGAGATAAAATTTGAATTACGTAAATCAAAATTCAATGCTTCACCAACTATTGGAGAACAGTTAACATCAAAGGACAACCACACACACAACTGTTCTGCTTCTACTTACTGCAACTATACTTTGGCCCACAATGCATTTAATCCTTTCAGAGCAATTCCATTATTCTAAATAGCTCATTGCTTTGTAGAAAAATCAGAAACAGAATCAAAGCATGTAATGGATTCTTTTCATCCATTCCAACAGTGATACCACAATTACAAACTTAAGGAAGCTGTAATGAGTGGAAAAATGTATACCACCCAATGATCTCATGATCTCTTAAAAATATGATCAAAGCTGCACCACTTCTTTGAGTAAAATATACACAGGTAAATAAATATATATATATATAATGTATATATTATACATATAGTACAAACACATTTATATGATGCATCAAAGTATACAGTAAGGACTTCAAATTAGCAGTCTGCTGCTAACAATGAGAGAAATAGGAAATCACCCATTTGGCAAATGCACGGCCGGGTCTCCCAAGGATTAACTCCACAGCACAGCTTGTTTCTCAAGGGTGTAACAGGAAAGGCAATCATGGCCTGATACATTTAGCCTGTGGCTTGACTGCAATCTCCTTCCTTCCTGCTTCCCCTTGTTGCATGTCCTTGGGGGAGCTTAGGTGTGGCTTAACCATTGGGAGGATCCTGGGAGGGGCCAAGCAGACTATAAAAGATGCAGCTTGACTTCAAATAAACGGCATTCTCCTCACAGGAATGACCCACTGTGTGTTGTCTGTGTGTTGTCTGTCTTGTCTGTCTCATAACCCTAGTCCCTCCGCTCGACTTGGAGCTCGGGGTACGTGGCGACGCAGGCTTTGCCAACATCTGGAGGTCCCACCGAGATCGAGAAAGAGAGGATACACGACGAAGGGTCGTCCCGGGAAGCTGGCCAGCAGGTAAGTGGGACGTATTGCAAGACTTTCCTAAACTGGTAGGAGAGGGAGTTTTCTTTTGAAATACAGTTTGGTTTAAGATTTATTGTGAAATATAGTAGGTTTTAGTCTTATTTTGAAACACAGTTTGGTTTAAGATTTGTTGTGAAATACAGTAAGGTTTTAGCCTTATTTTGAAGTATAGTTGGATCTTGGTGTTTTATTTACCTTGCGAAAAAGATGGGTTCTGCCTTCTCCAAGGATAAATTGGTTACTGAGCTTGAAGAACTTTTACATCAACTGGGGAAGCCAGTTAAAACTAGGATGATTAGAAATTTTGTTAAAGCCATTCAATCCAGTAGTCCTTGGTTTATTGTTTCAGGGAGCCTGAGTATCCCTGATTGGGAACAGGTTAAGGCTAATTTACAATCCTGCTTACAAAAGGACCCAGATAATTTCCCTATTGCCAACTTTTCTTTGTGGTGCTTAGTCCGTGATTCTTTATCTAGTGATAAGGTGGAAGTTAAAAAACAGTTAAAAGAAGTGCAGACTACTTTTGAAGAAATCCAGGAAAGGGAGGTTCTGCGGTCTGTGGAAGCCTCAAGTGAGGCCTCGAATGAGGCCTTGAGTGAAGCCACCTCGAGTGAAGCCACCTCGAGTGAAGCCACCTCGAGTGAAGCCACCTCAAGTGAGGCCACCCTGAGTGAGGCCTCTTCTTTAGAGGAGAGTGAAGCTGAC